CCAGAGCTTCACAACAAGGAAGAGTCAGACGTGAAAGTGCTACAAACAGAGTTGCAGGAGGCTCACAAGTCTCATCAAGGAATGGTTCACGAGGAGGTCGCAGAAAACAATCATTTCAGGCAACTCTAGCAGATACAATGGCTGGTTTTAGAGAGTTTCAACGCCAAAGTTTACAACAAATGCGTCCAAATTCTTTTGATCAAGAAGATTACGATGAATGCGAGATGGCAATCAAGATATTCGAATCACTCGAAGTTCAAAAAAACAGTGGATTTTATTGGGCATGCATTCAAGCATTGAAAGATGAAAGATTTTGGCGTAAGCATTTCATCGATAGAGCCGATGATTCTGACGAAGATAAGCTACAGTTTTTGCAAGCTTTGACAGGATATACACGAGATGGCGAATATGTTGGAAAACGGCTAAATTCAAATCAAAATTGCAGCAGCCCAAATTTTGGAGTTTTTGCTTCTGGTGGTCCATCTTTTGGTACTAATAACTCATGGGGTCAAACTCCAAATGGACAATGGAGTCATGGTTCTCAACAATGGGGCACTCCTCCAAACGCTCAGCAATGGGGTTCATCATCAAGTATTCCACAATGGGGTACTCCTCCAAATGCTCAGCACTGGGGTCCATCATCAAGTGTTCCACAATGGGGCACTCCTCCAAACGCTCAGCAACGGAATACTCCACCAAATGTCCCACAGTGGAGCACTCCACCAAATGTTCAACAATGGGGTTCATCAGGAAATGTTCCGCAATGGGGTACGGCGAGAAATACTCAACAGTGGGGTTCATCATCAAATGCCAACCAATGGGATCCATCATCAAGTGCTCAACAGTGGGGTTCATCACCAAATGCCAACCAATGGATTCCATCATCAAGTGCTCAACAGTGGGTTTCATCACCAAATGCAAATCAATGGATTCCTCCGACAAATGTTCAGCGTGGATTTTCACTAGGACCTGAAGTAGAAACTACAACGATTGGTCAAGTAGAAGTTTCACGTGAATCAGAGATTCGTACTTCAGAAAATGTTCAGAGGGGAGTATCACCTGAATTCGGTTTCACAAATTATTCTTCAGAAGCACAAATACCAAGATCAAGACCGCGGAGAGTAGGAGGATTATTCAACCTTTGGGGAAATAAACAAGGACCAAATTTAAATGAAAGTCATCAAAGTCGTTCAGGATCTGAAGATTAGTTTAGTACCACTTGTGTTTTGTTATTCATATTTATGCAAGTTGATTTAAAAATATTTAATATGTATTCTTGCTTTCGAACATTGCATTTTCTTATCAATTTTATTTATGATTTGTCTTGTTGCAATATTAATTATTTATTATGCTTTTTGGTATGTTTTATAATATATAACTATTATTTATTTTTAATGATTGAAATTTTTATCAATTTGATTTACGTGTTTTTCATGTTTACAATTTTTCAGGCTTTTCGTATATGTCAATTACGATCATATGGTCTGCACAATCTAAGTTACGAGGAGAGAATTGAGTTGTGGAATTTGGAAAATGAGCAATTTGAAGAATTAATAATTCAACCATCATTAAGTTACTACAACCAATATTTTGAAAGAGGACCGGTCCAGACAGGTGGCGGTTTGGGATGGAGAAATATTTGGCGTCGGCTACAAGAAGATGATGCCGCTTGTCTTCAGTTATTACGGATGTCAATAGGTGCTTTCAGAACATTATGCGATAAACTGCAAACAAGTTATGGTCTACAACCAACAATGAATATAGGTATTGAAGAGAGTGTGGCCATGTTTCTACGGATATGTGGGCATAACGAAGTTCAAAGAGATGTTGGATTACGATTTGGACGGACGCAAGAGACCGTGAATAGAAAATTTTTTGAAGTGCTTAAAGCGACTGAGTTACTTGCTTGTGATTATATAAGGACTCCAACAACCCAAGAACTACGACAAATTCCTGAACGACTAGTAATGGATCAAAGATATTGGCCATATTTTAGTGGATTTGTTGGCGCCATGGACGGAGTTCATGTTTGCGTTAAAGTGAAGCCTGAAGTTCAAGGAATGTACTGGAACCGGCACAATATAACTTCATTTAATATAATGGCGATATGTGATCTCAATATGTTATTCACATACGTTTGGAATGGAGCACCGGGATCATGTCATGATACATCAGTTTTGACAATGGCGCAAGAAAATGATTCCGATTTTCCTTTACCTCCACCAGACAAGTATTATTTAGTCGATTCTGGCTATCCAAACAAACAAGGTTTTTTGGCTCCGTTTAGATCTTCACGGAACGTGGTTGTTCGCTATCATATGTCACAGTTTGAAAGTGGTCCTCCTCCTAGAAACAAGCAAGAGTTGTTTAATCGATATCATGCATCTTTACGTTCTGTTATTGAAAGGACTTTTGGAGTATGGAAGAAGAAATGGAGGATTCTTTGTGAATTTCCTAGGTATGATAAGAAAGTTCAAAAAAGAGTGGTAATGGCGACAATGGGATTACATAATTTTATTAGAATATCTAATTTTTCAGATGAAGATTTTGCTGATGAAGAAGAGACACAGAAACTGGTAACACAAGTTCTATGATAGAGCCAAGTGATGTAGCAGAAGCGGAAATAGGAGAAGGAGATTTTATGGCTAACATTAGAGAACATATTGCGAGTACACTATGGGCAGACAAAAACAATTCACGTTAGGTTTTTGGAAATAATTTTTTGTATGTTGTAATGGAATTTAAATTTTAGATAATGTCTAATTTTTTTAATTACTTGTTTTTAAGAATTTTTTTTACATATATGATTTGAAACTTTTCATTTTTTTTCTTATCGTTTAATCAAATATGATATTCTATAACTGTTTAACTTATTATATTTGTTTATATGATAATATCTGATATGGGATCTGAAAAAAAGAAAATTACATGAGTTTATATTATAGACAAATAATTATACTCTGTTATAATTGTTGCAGTATGTTTTAATGGAAGTTACATTTGAAACAATAATTATTCCAAACCTATTTATTATAATAAATATATTGATTGCATCTATAATTGTATTTTTAAAAAATTATTTGATTTATATTAATTTACGATTCATTTATTCGTTAGATTTGCTTCATTTGTTACATCGAGTTTTGGGTTTTCAAGTTTATAACTATAAATTCCGTTTGGATATTTTTATTTTTTGAGCTAGGTTCGGTTCGGGTTTTTCCGGATTTGAGTCAGGTTTGGGTATTTAAATTACGCAAAACTTATTTAATTTCAGTGAAATATATTTGATTTTGACATAAATAACTAACTATTTTTAATATTTTGTGGTATCTTTTTTAATTTTCCAAACTATATATAAATAATTTTCAGGTTATGTAATTATATTCTGGATATTTATTTTAAGTTTTCAGTTCGTTTTTTGGTTTAAAATATAAGAACTAATTCTGGGTTTGGTTTTGTTCAGTTTCGTTAATTGTTTTTATCAATTTTGAATCGGTTTTTAAAGTCCTAGCTCTAGCTAGCACTAAAGGAATAATATTTAATTTATTAGGGAAAATAAAAATAAATGAATATTTATAATCTTTAAATAACAATTTTTTATATATTTATTGTAGTAATTATATTTCTTGCATATATAATTGTATTGTTGTTTTAAAGTTTTCAAATTATATATTTACATTCTTTTTCGTTGTTTTATAATTCAATTAAATATGATAATTCGTTAGATTTGTTTCATCTGATATATATGTTTGATACGCATTTGTTCTGTATGCAGATCATGATCTGTATTTGTTCTGTATGATCTGTATTTACTGTTTGATCTGTGTCACTATTGGAAGCCTTTAAAGGTGTATTCCCTTTATTTTAAGGATGACTACTGGGGATGACTACTGGAGATGCTCTAACAAACCAAGAAAATCGGGGTGGCGATTTGCGAGATTCGCGGGTACCGAAATGAAAAATAAACTGAAAAAGTCTACCCTTTGAGAAAAATTGACTTATTCAAATTGCTGACGTGGCATACAGCTATACGAGACCGTACCTTCACTTCCCTTCTCTTCTCGGACATATCTTTTCTCGTACATATATCCTGACAATATTATACATAAAAACTCTCATAACAGTATGTATTATATAATGTCGTAAAAATGGATGACAAGCCTCTAGCAAATTATTTTCCTAACATATCCTCTAACTTTACGTTTTGTGTCGACTCTTACATGTCTTTATCTTATATGAGTACCTAATTTCATGAGTGGGGTATTTGAAAACTGGTAACTAATTTCATTAGGTCACCACGGTGTTGGCTAATCCCAATGGGTTTCGTGTACATAAAACTAATTAAGCTGCATTATACTCCCTCCGTTCTTTAAAGATAAATTTTCTAGTTTTTTCACATAAGAAAAAGTTGATTTTCAATCATTAGTGCATAGATTTCTGCAATAAAACAACTTTTTATAATTTTAAACCAATAAAAATCCAACAAATATAATCATTGTATCTTGAAAACTGAAAAAGTACATCAAAAAGGTAAAAATTTTATCTTTATGAAACAATATAATGGCTAGAAAATTCATTAAAAGAAACGGAGGGAGTATTCATTAGCACTATATATATATATATATTAAAATCTTGTTTCATTCTTGTATATGTATGTGTGTACACATATGATGTTAAAATCGTGATAGATTATATATCTTCAATAAGAGAGAGAGAGAGGGAGGATTTCAAGTTTTCAACGCCCTCTCTTATCATCCGTACATATCTTCCATTTCGATCTTCAACTCCAATTCAATCTTCAACTCTCCCTACAATTTCTTTATTATATATAAGCAGGACATATTTTCTACACATTTATAGCACATCTTTTTTTTGTTAAAGAGCACAGCTTCATAACCTCTCTCTTTTCTCTCTCTTCTTCGCTCTCTTCTTCGCTCTCTTTAAGGGTTCTACTTTGAGTATATAAATATATATGCACATACACGTACACATAGGAAGATATGATGGGCTACGAGCAAATGAATCAGATGACAATGACGACAACCGCGATGATGAAGAATTTCAATACGATGGGACCAATCAATACTCCACATAAGAAAAATACGCGGAGAAGTGTGTCGGCTATTGATGGCGGAGCTGCCGCGGCAGCTGCAGCGGCTAGAGAAGGAGATCGCTGCAGGAATCTCAAGACTCTCGATCTCAGCGGCATGTCCTTGGCTTCTCTCTCGGCCTCTTCTATCAACTTAGCTTCAATCTCTAAACTAGATCTCTCCAATAACAATATTCAGGTACGTATTTATGTTGGATCATACTCATTAGAAAAAAATCAATTCTCATCAATCGTGGAAATAAGCAACTTTTAAAACAAAATAAAAAATGAAAATGGCATTTTTGCACTATTCAAAAACACTTTAAGCCTTACCAACACATAACCTAAATGGATTTTTTTTTTTTACGAAAATTCATAGAATTCTAAAAAGAAAAAAATCACAATACCTTTGAAAAAAGTGGTGTTTTCATAAGTAATTTTTTTTCTCAAAACGATTGTATATGTAGCAAATTTAAAATTCGTGAGGAAAATATAATCTTGAGTTGGGAGAGACAGATACATGTAACGTGAGAACACAACTATAAATCCGTAGAGACTTGAGAGTTTATTGTTTTATGTTGTTTAGAGACTCGAGAGGTTACGTAATATTAGAAAACACTATATTTGGGGTCTTAAATTATAAGAAATGGTTGCTAACTAACAAGTAAAGAAATAATAAAGATCGTCAAATAAATCAAGGAAACTCCCTCTTGCATATGCATGATTCGTTGTATTCCTTTATTAAGATTCGTTGTATTCCTTAATCTGTGGTTTTTGTCACTTCCTCTTTTGTTTTGAGGGAATAAAAAGCTTTATGTATTTTTTTATGAGTTAATATGGAGGAGAAAGCTTTGCTTACAGTTTATTTTGGTCAACTCGAACCTTAATAAAGCATATTCGTTTTTATTACTCGACGTCTGAGTGCAGAAGCAATTGACCCACAAGTGTTCGTAATTTTTCGTTACATAGTTGTTATATAAATGTATACTCCATAAATATGTTAATAAATAGCATTAACTATCCATAAATATGAGTTGTTCTTAGCATTTACTTCTCTCTTTGACTCTGCTGTATTGAATTTGTCCTCTTCCATGCCCAATATTGTCTTTGATAAATTATACCCGTTGTCAAAAGATATTGTCTTGAGTTCTATAGGTTATAGATTTAAATAACAATTCATTTTTTTTCCATTTTTGGTATAAAAATTGTTAATTGCCCTCAAGCTATACACAGTCATCAAGGTCATCGGTTCAACCCATCGTCCTTCAGTGGTTAAAACAATGTCGTAAAAGAATAAAATAAAAAGAAATTTAAACAATTTTGACTGATTATACCTTTAGGCTTTAGTTAAATATTTTCAACTAGGGCAGGTCATGAAACATGATAGTAGGCTTTGAGTGCTGTTCTAAGGTAACACTTTTTATTACCTTCTATGGATATAAATGGAGTTTCGACGTATTAAATGCCCAACAATATTACTATTATTTCATGTGTTGAACGTGTGTGTCTGAATAAAGAAAGATATCCGCTACCGTTCGGATTTGTATTCAATCAGTTGCACTAACCATAATTGTACATGTAACACTAACCATCTTTTATGTGTGAACCACTTAGTAGTACTTAAAATTGCATCACTCATTCATTTAGTTTCTAATGCAGAAAATTCCGGAATCTCTAGTAGCGAGGATGTTAAATTTGTTGGCATTGGATTTACACTCCAATCAACTCAAAACTCTTCCCAACTCCATCGGATGTCTTTCCAAGCTTAAGTTTCTTAATGTCGCCGGAAACTATCTCCAATTTCTCCCCAAAACTATCGAAGATTGCAGGTAACACCCCTTCCTTCACGCATCCAATTCTCTTATTATCTTTGTACCAAAACGCTAAACATAAAGAAAACGCAGATCGCTGGAAGAGCTGAACGCAAACTTCAACGAGCTGACGAGGCTCCCAGACGCGATAGGGTTCGAGCTAACGAATCTTACGAAGCTCTCCGTCAACTCGAACAAGCTCATCCTCTTGCCAAACTCGGTTAGCCACTTGACGTCGCTGCGTGTGCTCGACGCGCGGCTTAACCGCCTTGGATCGCTCCCTGAGGATCTAGAGAACCTTGTGAACCTTCAGGTGCTTAACGTTAGCCAGAACTTCCAGCATTTGACGGCGTTACCTTACTCTGTTGGGCTGTTGATATCTCTCGTGGAGCTTGATGTTAGCTATAACGGAATCACGGTTTTGCCAGACTCTCTCGGCTGTCTCCGCCGGATTCAGAAGCTCTCCGTCGAGGGTAATCCCCTTGTCTCCCCGCCTTTTGAAGTGGTATGTACAATTATCTATTTTCATTTTTGTCTACAATAATATAACCTTTTTGTTAACGATAAAACCTATTTCAACCATTTTGATCTAGTAACAAAACCTATATAAATTCTTGTGTAGTAGAAATTATTTATAAAATGTATTTAACAAAAAATAATATAATTAATACCGAGATAACTTGTTTCACAAGCATTCTTAGTAAGCAACGAGAGTATGATATTTATTTGAATTAGTTTAGTTGGTTTTGTATAAAATTAGTTAAGCTAATTAAGCTCATCCATTTGTACTAGGAGATCGCATGGTACAAGAAACTTGAGACATGAATATATAAACAAATCGAGATTATATAGTTTCAATTTGATGATCTATTACAACAGGTGGAACAGGGTTTGGAAGCAGTGAAGCAGTACATGAGCGAAAAGATGACCGAGTCTTATAAGAAAACTCCGAACAAGAAAAAGTCGTGGGGGATTGGTAAGATCGTCAAGTACAAGACCTTTAACGGCCTGAGTTCTTCTCCGGCGAGGAGAACCGCCGGTGACCGCCGTGAAGGCGAGAGGGAAGGTTTCATCAACGTTTCCGATTACCGCCAAATCGATGGAATCGCCTCCCCACGACATGTGTCTCTCTTCAATCCGCGACGCCTTTTGTCTCCATTCTCCGCGTACTTCTCTCCTCCTAGGTATTAGTGAAGTGTACTTCTGTCTTTTATCTTTTACTTACGACTCCAAATCGTCTTCACGTGTTCTTTTTCCTTTTTTTCGAATGCAGCGTTGTTTCCTTGTGTGTGTTTTTTTTTTCTCGCATATAGCGTTTTTTTTCTGCTCTGTATCAGACTTTTGGGTGGCTTTTTAATTCGCTGTATTATAGTTCAATGTTGTTGAACACATATGTAAAATGACAAATACACTTCTATTTGGTTCATGTATATACGTAATGTAAGTCGTAAGATTGCATTTGATCAGTAAGTGTTCACTCTATTCTCCTCCGTGGACCTTGGTCAAACAAACATGGTCCATTCATCACTAAAATTGTAGCAGAAAAATTCAAATAAGTAATAACCATCATGTGTAATTCAAGTTCTTAGAAACTTGTATTTATATATATAATTCAGGGTAAATCGTAAGTTTATGGAAAGGCCGTAACTAGTTTTTCGGAAATGTGTAATCCACAAATATACCATCTCTCTAGATATTCAAATGGGCCATAAGCTAGGATCCATATCCATGTGGCAAAGTGAAAATGGCTGATAAAAAGTTAGAAACTTGTATTTCTCGTTTAATTGGGCTTTTTGTTTCACTTATTTGAGCTTTTTATCTTCGCGGAAAAGTAGTTAACTAGAAAAAAAGTTGAAGTCAGAAGTTAACAAGTTACACTAATAATCTAACATTTACTGCAGTAACTAATTGTATTTACTAAGTGACTGTTTGTGCTAATCCACTTACACATACTGTACAATTTTTATGAGCTGTATACACTTTAATTGGAAAGAAGATTTTTTAAAAAGAGAGTTATACATGATTCCAGCCTAACACTGCTAAGCAAATAAATTGAAGGAAATTACAAATTTGGAATGAAATCTAGATATTACCTTATAAAATAAAACATTTCCTTGTTAAAAATATAGAGAAATAATCAACCAAAGATATCTTTCTATATTATAAATATGAATAACAGCCATATGAAAACTATGTTTCCTTGTGTATTGTTTCTTTTTGAAAAATCTTCCAATTTAGCCTTTCCTTTTATAGCTAGTGTATTAGTATAAATAGATAGATATGCAGACGGTGTAAAAACACACACTCCAATTCTCAACAATGTCTTCACTTCCAAATGAATCCAATCATAATGGTAATAATAATACTACCAACCAAAATGGTTTTGCTCCAAACCAAATTAACCCAAATGTGAGGACGTACGAGTCCCAGATGGTTCGACCAACGCTCCCTACTCCAAACCAAAATGGTTTTGCTCCAAACCAAATCAACCCAAATATGAGGACGCACGAGTCCCAGATGGTTCGACCAACGCTCCCTACTCCAAACCACAACAACCATGCGGGTCTGTCTTCTCTACCATCAGGTCTTGCTTCGTTCTATCATGGCCCACCAGCCTCTTCATCGTCCTCGAGATTCAACCAGTCACGTGTGGTGCCTTATCATCAGATGAGAAGCAACATGGTTTCTCCCGCCGGATTTACTTACCGACAGCCTCAGTTCTCCGGTTACGTCAACTCTCAGTTTCCTCCAGCTGTTTTGACCACTCAAGCTGTCCCGAACAGGCTTCATGTTAGTGCTTCTACCAATATGGTCACAAATCAAAATGTCCGTGAACGTGGCGATCGAGTCGTGAATTCTATTCTGCATCAACTCATTCCTCCTCAAGCTCTTGATCACGCTGCTTTGCTACCAGAAGAGATAGAAGAGCCCTTTCATCAATATTCAGACCCTTTTTCCATGTCGCCAACAAACAGTCAGGACCATGTTTCTCAAGATGGTCGGCCCAAGAAGAAAATCCGTACAGAAGCGGAGTTCTTTGAAGCAATCAATGATTTCTTTGACAACCAGGAAGCGGAAAGAAGTGAGGAGGATGAAAACGGGGATTGGCACACATGTCCCAAGTGCGAGTGTATTTTTGATACATCGCAAATTTTGGGGGCACATACAAGGTTGGTCCATGGCAGAGAGGAGAGTAACGAAGAAAGAAAAAAACGACTCTCTGGGAAAGGTAAAATACCATACCCTAAACAAAATCATCCGGAGGTCCATAGTAAGTCTCTCGAGATCAAACCCGATGAGGAAGTTGCAAAGAAGGCTGAGGCAACAGAGTAAGCGGTTCTGAAACTCTTCAACATCATATCATTATTGGTGAAGAATCTTTAAGAGTGTTGTGTTTTTTTTAATCAGTTTTCTTAATGTCTTTTTCTTTGATTTCAAATAATGTAATATAATGGTTAATGGACTTTCTCTTCTTCTTCTTTTTTTTTTTTTTTTTTCATTTCATCATTGTTAATCATGAGAAAATGTTTTAGTCTCTACAATTAAACCCTCACAATTTGAGGTAAATCATAGAATATTGTGTAAAAGATGTTTGTTTCAATCAATTACACAAATAAAAAATCAACTGGACTCGACCATCATAGAAAATTTGGAACAAAGTTTGGTTACTCGGCCCAAAAAACTAATCTCACGAGGTTTTGTATTTGGGTACACGTTTAAAAATATTCCAATATTCCAAATATCTTATACTGGATGTACCCGAATATAGCGTGGCTAAGTTGTCTTGGCCCATTAATAACTTCCAAACATGAGTATATGACATAACTAGGATGTTTGAAACAACAAGATTCTATATATAATTCAAATATTTTATGTTTAGCTTACTTAATGTCAAACATGGGCTTACGGCTAAAGTTAAATATGTAAACTCTTTTTTTTTAGTTTAGCCGTAAGCCCATATCTAACCTATTTAAGTTTAGGGCCGACTCTATGTACAAAAAAATGTAAGAAATGCGAAACATTCCATTCAGCAAGCATGGGCTTACAACTAAAATTTAATATGTAAAAACTGTTTTTAGTTTAGCCGTAATCCCATATCTAACTTATTTAAGTTTAGGACCAGCTCTATATATAAAAAAATGTGAGAGATGTAAAACATTCAACTCAGCAAAATCTGACATAATGCAAAAACATGAGCATGGTTTAGGTCAAACTTAAAATCTTTTGTAATATTATATCAATATGCAGAATAATATTCAGTTGATATACAAATCATACTATGTTTTTTACTTGTTTTGTAGCCTACACATTGAAATTAAACTCATGGAAACGATACTATTATAATCTACTAAGCTATGCAAACTCAGGTTACAGATAAATAAGTTTTCAAAACTCAAAAATTACCACATTTATTGTAGGGCACAAAATAAATTAGTAAATGTACTGTGTATTGTTTGCTCTTAATAAATGTACATAAATAAATTACGTGTAACTGGTTATATTTTGTTTCCTTACCAAAAAGATGATCATATATTTCTTTTATATCAAGGCAAACAAAACTTATTCTATGTGCTAAATTAGGTTATTGACACTTGGAGCAATAGTTCCTTTAACTCATTATTGAAAGCAAATATAGTATCTTTGGAACCTTTTTAGGTATGGTGTTAAAACCTTTGGAACTTATCTTATCAAACACTCCCGAATTAGGTAGAGTGTCCAATACATTTATTATGGATACTCACAGAAATCTTCACAGTTACGTATCATATTATTATGCTGTTGCTATGTGAGATCGAAGTCCACGTAATTTTGTTTTTTTTTCAAAGGCTCAAGTCCACGTTCATTTCATATTACAAGACCAGTACATAACAACGTAATTTTCAGTATATTTTAACCACGATTTCTAATGGTTTGGGTCCGATCTACCCCCAAAAGGAAACTAAACCGGTATTTGCTGAATATAAAAGAATCATCCATGCATTTGATTAAAAGTAGACACCAGACACACTGGGGAAGCAAATCCCCAATTAGCCATGTAAATGCAAAAGTTGCAATCACATAACTTGGATGGGTCACAAATTACTGACCAGTGAGTGAACTTATTCATACATAACACACAAGTCTAAGGACATAAACCAAACGAAATTGAAAATCAAACCAGAAATTTAACTGATTACTTTGTTTCCAGATTCCTTGTCTGCCTCGTCACTTTCGATCTGAGGTAATCTCTGCACCGAAGGAAAAAACAAGAAAGAGAAACGAATATATCATGGAATGTCTTATGAGCATTACTGAGAAGAAAACAAAATTTTGGTTTAGCTAGACATTTCATCGAACACCTTACACGCGTTTGTAAAAAGAAGACAACTTACGAGATCTGGCTTGTATACATTGTGGACGATGGAGGCTCCGGCGAGCAGAGAAGCTACAACGACGACGGTTGACAACGCTAAAGACGGAGTTCCCGTCGGCTTCTTCCCTCCAAATTTTCTGTCCATCTTTCGACGCTTCTTTGAGCGACTTCGACCGTACAGTTTGCTGTATAAAAGGAAGCTAATATTTTGCTTTGGGCCAAACAGAAAATTTAAATAAAACCCTTCGCGCGTTTATATTTATATGTTTATATGAAACAAGATTTTTACATATAAATTAGTGATAAAATACGTTTAAATTATTTGTATTCCAATTTGTTGAGCACCACCAATAGTACACATCCAAACCAAAAAAGTTACATATATATTTATATCAGCAAAGGAAAGAAACAACCATTTATTTACTCTTTTATTTTTCTGTTTTCTGTACACAAACTGTGAAAAGAATGATACAGAGCTTGAGAATGATGAGGTCATAGACTCATACAAGATCTTTACTTTGAGGTTTATATTTAATGTACATACAAATTTGTAAGTCCCTCTTCTATTCCTTTGACACGCACAGGACCAAGATTATACATTTATATTTATAGATATCTCAAGAGTATAGTGTGTATACGTAAGATCCCACTAAAACCACCTGAAAACAGCAATCACCAGTAGCAGGAGAGAGAATCCCATCGCCTGAAACATCACCACATTTCATCATCATTTCGTCTGAAACTCAAACAAACAAATGTAAAATAGAGAGAGAGAGAGAGAGAGAGAGTCATTACAGTGATTGCAGAAGCAGCAAGACCGGCTCTTTCTCTAGGGTCTTTACGGTAGTAGTTCCCGAAATAGAGAAATGTCGCATAGTACCACAACAAAGGGAACACAAAACCTAGGAGAAAGCTGTCAAAGAAGAGAGAGCATAGTAAATAAAATTGGATATAGTGAATCTGTGTTTGACTTAACTTGAAAAAGAACAAAACTCTACTCACGAGAACCATCCGATTCCACAACCAAAGCATGGAAGAGGTTTGTCATAGGCTCCATTTTCAACTTCGTCCACGTCTTTAACAAGCGTATATCTTCCTTGCCCACAAACCATAGCATCTACCATACAAAGAAGCCAATGTCTCTTAGTTCTCCAAATCAATTTTCAGGTGTATCAAACATGAACTCACTAAAAGCCAAAAGAGTAAATCTTGAAAGAGTTTCTTAAGGCACTGAGAAAAGGGCTTGATGGTATACCTTTAAGAGCAGAGTAGTATCTAGCAGCTGGTCTCATGAGACTAGATTGCTTATCAGCCATGGATTTCACCAGCTCTGCACTTCCATCTCCACGCTCTTTAACACCTGCAAATATATAAAATCATCAAACTTTGTGGAACACTCAATGCAGTCTCATTTCTAAGCCATGTCCCTTTTTTCATATATCATGTTTTCACAATCTTTGACTATTCTGTGAACAATCACTTACAGCTAACAAACTACTTTATTCTTAGGTTTGGAATGATAAGTCTATGATCCTCTATTCTAGTAACAAGAACTAGTAAAAGTGACTAATCTGATCACACATACATAAAAGGGAAGAAGATGATTACTTTCCGCCATATGAATGCCAAAGCTCTTGCTTGTGACTAGTGACACACAAAGATCTTTCAAACTGACTGCACCAACAATTAACAACGGTATGAATTTCAGCAAGGAAACAAACCCTATAGGTGGATTTCAATCGATTCGAGCGAAAACCCATAAAAAAATGAAATCAGCGAAACAGAATCATGAGAAACTCAGAGCCCGGATCACTAATTGGAAAGGCTTAATCTTAGAAATCTGTTAGCACTTGAAACCCATCAGTTGAACGATTCAGTGGTGATGACGAGCCAGAGATCGCTCGAGAAGTAAAACGGGAAAACGACGGAGAAAACTCACCAGAGGAAATCTGGAGCTGAGAAAATTCGAGAAGAGATTGATAGTAGGAACAAAAAAAGGAGATGAATTTCGCATCAAGAAATCTAAGAGGCGGAAGTCGTCGTCGTCGTGCTTCTTCTCTAATTGAGCTGCTTCAGCACTTCGTCAGCGGTTAAATGCGTAGAGAGCGGAAGAAGAAGGAAGAAATGGAAGTCTCTCAAGGAGATTGTCTTTTTCTTTCGCCAAAAGCAAGTTTGTCTCTTCTCTATTTTGCAAAATATTTTAATTCATTAGTTACAAGTCTATAACCACTTGTTTCATTGAGGTTTATTGTTGTAGTCGTTGGTTTACCCAAGGCATTTATCACGAATTCACGATCATATTGATATATTGATTGCAGCTTTAGCTAATTATTGTCATTCTGACTGTTTTCTTATATTATACTCCCTCCGTTTCAAATTAGTTATCGTTTTGGCAAAAATGTATCTGTAAATATTTGGACGTATCTGGACGTATTTTGTATTGCAAATACATTTTCCCAAAATGACAACTAATTTGAAACAGAATGAGTATATGAGTTTGTCTATTATGAGTTAAATCATTTTTAAACACAGTTACTTTTTTCTTTCAAATCAAACCTTTCCACCAGAGAAAATTTATGGATTAGATTTATGGAACCACATTGTGATTATTTTGTTCTGTTAAAAAAAATGAAAGTATTTGAGAGGAAAAAGAAAAAAAAAATCTCTGAAGTTTCTTCTTTTGTTAGGAACCTTTAACGAACTTTCCGTAGAGAACAATTTTTCAATAATAAAAAAAAAAAGAGAAAAACATAATTGTTGACCAAAAAAAAAACATAATTTTTGTTTGTTTCTTTTAGACAGCTTCTACTGTTATATTTAAGACCATTCTAGATACGTTACCACTTACCACATTCAAACTTGAAAGTAGCAGCCATTCAGATCTTTTAAGTTTTCACAATACATTACATATGAGATACATTACACTCAATATCATGCAATATTTGTCATTCATTCTGGATTCTTTTTATAGAATTTCTTACATTGAATTGTTCATCATGATTTCATATACTATAGACCAGATAGTCCATTTACAATAGTTGAAACTATCTTTTCAAAACATAAATATACTTATTTAAAAAAAAAATTGTTTATTTGTTATCTTAAATAGACAGAATTATGTAATAGACAGAAAAAGTATTAAATTAAGTCCAACTCGACATCACCTTACCAACAAATTCACATAATATTTTATTTTTGTTGATTTCTTCCACATGGTGTTTAATGTTTATCTAATGATTATGATTTCTGACAATTTTAATAGACATAGACACACACATAGTACATAGTAGGTTGTTTGTTGTAGAAATAATGAAATTCAATAAGCTCTTAGCTTTTAAATGAATGCAAAGAAAGAAGATTTCACAATCAGAAGACCATTCCTCAAAGAAAATTAAACATAAGACTATATCTAATCAAGATTATAATCACCATTAGCCTTAGTGGGAACAATGAGAAAGTGGGAAGGTTATAAAAAAAATGCAATGATTACTGGAAGAAAAATTCTGAAGACAAATTAAAAATGGAAGAAAATTCAAAGGAAAAATGAGTCAAGGAAAAGTCAACGACCATTTCGTCTTCGTCTTCTTCTTCTTTGTCATGAGCTACACGACGTCGAGTGTTCGTCATTCCTCTTAACTTTAAGCTTTATCCTTCTGATATCTGACCTTGTATGTGTGTCTGTGTTTGTTTATCAGTTACTCTGTTTTGTAGATTTGATCGCCAATCAGACATGAACAGAGGCAGCTTCAATCCTAATCCCATCCGTCTCCCTCCTCCTGAGGAATCCATCTCCAAATTCTTGTAACTCTCTTTCTCTCTCTCTCTCTCTCTTTGGATTCTTCGTAATGTCAATTTTAGGGCATTATCTGCATATTTTCCCTGGTTATTACTTTGTTTATTCTTCAGATCACACCCTTCGAATAAAAGATTGTGTGGTTAGGATCTGACGAATCAGAATTCTCTGTTCTCACCTTTCAAGATTCTTTTTGTTTTTCACTTCACAAGTGATTCTACAGTAGTGTGTAGTCCTCTTTAATCACTGGACTAATGTCACTGATTTGTGTCAATGAATCTTCTAACATTGAAAAAGAAAATGGATATAGAACACAGAGTGGAACGTTTAAGGATGGAGACCTTCTAGTGAACAAAGATGGAATCCAGACCGTGTCTCAGTCCGAACCAGGAGCTGTGAGCTTTTTTTTTCTTGAAAATTGAGACCTCACTCTCCTCTGTTTACACTTTTGAAGATGTTTTGGATTTTATTTTGCAGGCACCTCCTATTGAGCCATTGGACAACCAGTTGAGTCTGGCAGATCTAGAAGTGATAAAAGTCATTGGCAAAGGAAGCAGTGGCAATGTCCAGTTGGTGAAACACAAACTCACTCAACAGTTTTTTGCTCTTAAGGTCAGATTCTGTTTTGTGTTATGTTGCTTCTTTTTTTAGTGTCTTCTCTTGGCTGAAGTAAAAGACACATAATATATATCTACAGGTGATTCAATTGAACACAGAAGAATCAACATGCAGGGCGATTTCTCAGGAGCTGAGAATAAACTTGAGCTCGCAATGTCCATTTCTAGTCTCGTGTTATCAGTCTTTCTACCATAACGGTCTTGTTTCAATCATATTGGAGTTCATGGATGGTGGATCACTCGCGGATCTGTTGAAGAAAGTCGGGAAAGTTCCTGAAAACATGCTCGCTGCCATCTGCAAGCGAGTAAACTCTACGCATCATCTTGAAAACATCTCCTCTAGCTACATGTTTCTATGTACAATCTTCCTCTTAGAGAAACACATGATCAAAGCTCTCTCTTTAACCAAAACGCAGGTGCTAAGAGGCTTGTGCTATATGCACCATGAGAGGCGAATCATTCACCGGGACTTGAAGCCATCGAACTTGCTAATCAATCATAGAGGTGAAGTCAAGATCACAGACTTTGGTGTAAGCAAGATCTTGTCAAGCAGTAGCAGTCTAGCTAATTCTTTCGTGGGAACAACATACTATATGTCTGTGAGTCTCCTCCATTCAACACTCATTATAATAAATAAAAACACTCAGTTTTAAAGAGTGGAAAAAGGATTTATGGTTATCATGTTTTGTAGCCAGAGAGAATCAGCGGAGATTCATACAATAACAAGAGCGATATTTGGAGTTTGGGACTGGTTTTGCTCGAATGTGCAACGGGTAAATTCCCTTACACTCCTCCGGAAGACATGAAGAAATGGAGTAGCGTGTATGAGATAGTGAACACCATTGTTGAAAACCCTCCTCCTTGTGCACCTTCTCATCTGTTTTCTCAAGAGTTTTGCTCCTTCATCTCGCAATGGTGAGAGAAGAATACTTAAAAAAAAAAACAGAGTTTCAAACTATCCTGTTCATGTTGTTAATTGATGCTTTACTTACTTGTGTAGCGTACAGAAAGATCCAAACCACAGAAAATCGGCAAGGGAGCTTCTGGTGCGTAATCATATAGACTCTCTCTTCTTGTAATGTCTCTGACCACACATTTCATAACTTTTTTCCTGGTGAACAGGAACACAAGTTCGTGAACATGTTTGAGGATTTGGATGTGAATCTCTCGTCTTACTTCACAAACGCAGGATCTTTGATTCCCCCACTAGCTAACAGCTAGTACCGAGTTTGAACACAACTAAGTTATATTCCACTAGAAGAGATGTCACGAAAGCAAAATTCTACGAGATGTTATGAGAGACTAATAACCTCCTACCAAATCTACAATTTTTTTCTGTTATAATTTTTAGACAGTGAAATATCTGTCCATTTTCGTAAGAAGATCATTTTGATAAACAATAGTAGAGATCTTTAATGTATATTGTAACCATATTACAATTTAGCCCGGGAGGAAAAATACAAAGGGCTTTTATCTTGTTAAGACAGAGCTTAACACTTTAAGCTACATTGTCTCATTCATATAACATGTTAGTTAAAAAAAAAATAAGCACAAATTAAGTTTGAGAGAGACCAATATTCATCATAAATAAAAAAAGAAGAAAAAAGGACTCTCTGCCTCAGCTCAAAGGTTTGAGCTTGAGTTTCCTCTGAGGCTTCAAATCAACAACCACCACGCTTATGTTGTCTTTGCTTCCTCTCTGCAACGCCAGCTTCGACAAGTACTCAGCCGCCGACATGGCCGCCGGATCTTTCCCTTCCTTCCTCCGCTCGTCCGTGAGCAACGACGCATCCCCAGCCACCGCGTTCTTCTTGTGCCACAAGAGAATCCGCTTCCTCGCCATCTCACACGCTTCCTCATCCGTCATTACGTCCCAAACACCGTCACTCGCTAGTATCAGACAGTCATCTTCTTTCACTCTCTTCACAGCCGTCACTTCCGGATCCGGAATGATCGACGGTTTCAAGTATCTATCCCCTGTTTCCCAATTTATATGATTTTGTCAGAAAAATAAAAAGTTTCTATTTTTAGAACCATTATGAGAAATAGAAAGAAAGCTGACCAATGGATCTCGACATGGCGAGAACACCGAACACACGAGCTCCGTTCCATTGGATCACTTTCCCTCCGGCCGCTTCAATCCTCGCCGCTTCATCTTCTCTATCCGGCTACACACATTACACAAACATTCATCAGAAATGGTTTCATAAATCTCTCCAGAAACTATAGGTTATATGAGTGTATATGCTTACTTTGTGATCAGTGGATAACGGAAGCGCAGTTTTGCCGCGGCAAAGAACGGCTCTGGAGTCGCCGCAATTAGCGACGAAGATGTGAGTCGGAAAAACGACGGCGACGACCGACGTTGACCCGACAGTCTCCGGCGCGACTGACTCGATCTCCGAGTCAACTAGGAGGAACGCGTTGAACAGAGCCCTCTTCCACTTCTCCTGCCACGTGTCGCCGTCGCAGAGCATCGGCTTCTCCGTCGCTATCTCCTCCGCTAACGCCAAATGCATCCTCTCTCTGCAATAATCCGCAACCTACAACAACAAACCAAAGACCCCCGAAATCAAAAACCCAGATTTTCGCAATTACTTGCCAGATCGAATCAAATCGGAGTCGATTGATTTACCTGAGAACCGCCGTGACCGTCGTAGACGCCGAAGAAATGAGCAGCTGAGAGAGGATTGAAACGACCATCTAACATCGAGTTAGTCGAGGATTGAAGGAATCTGGGTATCGTGGAAACAGCATCTTCCATCTCAGGTCGTCTTCCACAAATCGAAGTCACTCCGTATAAAGGCACACTCTTGAATTCGAACAGGCTCCTGCTCTCTGTTCTGCTGATCATTTTCTTCTCGCTCTGAACCGTCGATCTCTCATCTGAGCCGTTGATCTCCTCTCCGGCGGCTATGTCAGCGACTATATCTGACGACGACGACGATGATGATGGTTCCTGCTTCATGTTTAAGTTTGGAGAATTGATCCGAGAGGACAGAACTTGCCTAGATCCGGAAACAGAGCATGAGCTCTCCGGTAACGGAACCCTCGAATCGCCGTTCTCGGAATCTTGTGTTGGGTATTGGCCGTTGCAGTAGCTTTTACCCAACCTGATCCCGGAATATTCCATCTGGGTTTCGGGAAATGGCATGAAAGGCATAGCAACCGCCGGAGATACTTCCTCCATTGAAGGAAAAGTTATCAAATTTACAAAGAAATAGCAAAGTTTTGAGATTTGAGCTCTCTGTTTTTTTATTTCTCTCTGTTTTTTTTGTGTGGGAAAGATGGTTGATCTATAAATCAGCTCTAATGGAAGAAAAATGAAAATTCGACAGATTTCTGAAGAAATTTTAAGAGAAGCTATGAAGACAAGAAACCCATGACTTCTCCCCAAAAAAGACAACCTTTGTTAGCTACCGTATGAAACAGATAGAGATACAAAGCAGGTAAAATCACCACACAGCAAAAGAGAAGAAAATGAATTGAATTTCAATACAGGGTTTCCTGTATTATGGGCAATTCGTTACAACCTCTTAAAGACTCTGTAATCTCTCTATCTCTCTCTCTCTCTTCAATTAATTTCCAACTAGAACAATTTCTACATTCAACTACCTAAAAGATGATAGAAGAAGGCTCTCTATTCTTCTTCTTGTGGTAGCTTCTTCACGGATAAAAGAGAAAGAAAGGAACGAAAGAGGAAATGGGTAGGCAAAGGCAAGGGGGCAACAATCGCTTCAAATCTGCTTAAATAGATCTATTTATCTTTATTTATTTTGTTTTTGTAATAAGGGGAGATGTTTCGTTCTTGAAAAATTAAAAATCATAAAAGACACTTGCTTTTCTGAACTTCCTGCAACTCTTTTTTTCTTCTTTCATTTCTCGTCTTTTTGGCCAGTAATTTACTTGATATTTTCTTGAAACTAAATATCCTAAATATTATAGTTTTGTCAAACGAAATATGTTTGCTTTTAACTTTAGTTAGGTCATCAGTTTAATTAAATATCCTATATATTTTTATGAGATGACTTTCACTTATAGACGTGTCATATTCAGATTTAAGTCTTGTAATTTACAATAGATTTATTTGTGTTTTTTTTTTTGTCGAAATTTGTCATATACTTTAATCTCCATGAATAGAGTTCTAAAATTCCAAAACTTTATTCGTAATTTCTAGCCATTGGACTCAAAAAACATCACATGCCATTTAGATACTAGGGGAAAATTAAAGGAAAAATAATAAAAATTATGTCATTTTCAGTATAAGAACAATACTTTATCCATATAAAAGATAAGAAGTAATCGAATGTTTTTATATCCTGGAAAATCAAGACCATCGGTAAAATATCTAAATAATGATAATTTAATGGGAATAACTTCATTATACGTCTACTAATTTAAAATCATTTATCTTGAAGACTATTTTCGGTCAACGTAAAACCAAAAGCATAATTTGTACTATGTTAGCATGTAAACAAGGAAAACAATTATTCAACAATTTCTTAGTTAAAACTAAAATATTTTATATTGATTCTTTCAATAATTAAGATTCAGAATTTTAGTTTTTATAGAGAATGATAGAAATCGGGAGTTTCCATATAAAATACGTTAAAATCATGTAAACCTTTTCCACTGTATATTTTTCGGGCTATTTTCAAAGTAGTACAAAAATTGAGTCAAATCCAAAAGTAATACCCTCTTTTTTCCTTCCTTCTTTATCCTTACTATATTTTGGATAATAACGAAAATGCCATTACTTTCGTGCTTGAAGTCTAACCGTGAAGTCTAACACGCGAAAAAAAGTCCAAAGAAACCTCATCTTCTTCATTTATTCACGAAAATGCCATCACCATCAATTCGTCCAACAACCATTCTCAACCGAAATCAAGCTTTCAATGCACAATGTACTCTTCAAACATATATACAAACTCATTATATCATCTCATAAACTTGTATTGGTCAATTTCTTCTCAATTTTCACCCCAAGAATACACATTTTCATCTTTTCAAAGTTTATGTTCTTAGATCTTCCCATTTTTGGTGTGGGAGATCATTATAACGGTTGGGGAAGTTTGCTAAAGCTCTAAATCGAAGTTATAGCCGTCAACGAAACATAAGATCACGGCAAGGTAAATTTCCGGTAGATCTGAGTGAATCTCATATTTTTGCAGGTCCTTAGACTTCATAGCGAAGTCTAACAAACTAGTTTTGCAATTGATTTTTTCAAAAAATTAGAGAGTAGACTTCATTGTGAAGTCTACCCATATTCCTTTGAAAACAAAAAAATATGGCGTAGGCTTCAGAATGAAGTCTACTCGAAAAAGATTAGTTTTGCAATTGACAGAATAAAAACTTTTTATGGGAAATCTATCTGTGAAGTCTACTTGAATAAAAGACTAGTTTTGCAAACTTTAAAGTAGTTTGTTTTATCGTGAAGTCTACCCCTGAAAGTCTACCTCTTCCGGTTCCAAATTAGGTCCATTTGATGTTCCTCCCTTGGATTGAGACCGTTTCACTCATGTTTGTCCTCATAGTCATGTGTAGAACCTATTAATCCATGTTTGGGTAAGTATGGGTCATCTAGTTCATCTTATACACTACAAGTGAGTTTCCACAATGTGGAGTCACAGAGGTACATTTCGGACTCCTTACCTCTTCCGGTTCCCAAATTAGGTCCATTTGATGTTCCTCCCTTGGATTGAGACCGTTTCACTCATGTTTGTCCTCATAGTCATGTGTAGAACCTATTAATCCATGTTTGGTAAGTATGGGTCCATCTAGTTCATCTTATACACTACAAGTGAGTTTTCACAATGTGGAGTCACAGAGGTACATTTCGGACTCCTTACCTCTTCCGGTTCCCAAATTAGGTCCATTTGATGTTCCTCCCTTGGATTGAGACCGTTTCACTCATGTTTGTCCTCATAGTCATGTGTAGAACCTATTAATCCATGTTTGGATAAGTATGGGTCCATCTAGTTCATCTTATACACTACAAGTGAGTTTCCACAATGTGGAGTCACAGAGGTACATTTCGGACTCCTTACCTCTTCCGGTTCCCAAATTAGGTCCATTTGATGTTCCTCCCTTGGATTGAGACCGTTTCCTCATAGTCATGTGGAGAACCTATTAATCCATGTTTGGGTAAGTATGGGTCCATCTAGTTCATCTTATACACTACAAGTGAGTTTCCACAATGTGGAGTCACAAAGGTCCAATTTCTGATTAATAAGAACCTATTATATCCAATTGTTTGGAGTATGGGTCCATCTAGTTCATCTTATACACTACAAGTGAGTTTCCACAATGTGGAGTCACAGAGGTACATTTCGGACTCCTTACCTCTTCCGGTTCCCAAATTAGGTCCATTTGATGTTCCTCCCTTGGATTGAGACCGTTTCACTCATGTTTGTCCTCATAGTCATGTGTAGAACCTATTAATCCATGTTTGGGTAAGTATGGGTCCATCTAGTTCATCTTATACACTACAAGTGAGTTTCCACAATGTGGAGTCACAGAGGTACATTTCGGACTCCTTACCTCTTCCGGTTCCCAAATTTGGTCCATTTGATGTTCCTCCCTTGGATTGAGACCGTTTCACTCATGTTTGTCCTCATAGTCATGTGTAGAACCTATTAATCCATGTTTGGTAAGTATGGGTCCATCTAGTTCATCTTATACACTACAAGTGAGTTTCCACAATGTGGAGTCACAGAGGTACATTTCGGACTCCTTACCTCTTCCGGTTCCCAAATTTGGTCCATTTGATGTTCCTCCCTTGGATTGAGACCGTTTCACTCATGTTTGTCCTCATAGTCATGTGTAGAACCTATTAATCCATGTTTGGGTAGTATGGGTCCATCTAGTTCATCTTATACACTACAAGTGAGTTTCCACAATGTGGAGTCACAGAGGTACATTTCGGACTCCTTACCTCTTCCGGTTCCCAAATTAGGTCCATTTGATGTTCCTCCCTTGGATTGAGACCGTTTCACTCATGTTTGTCCTCATAGTCATGTGTAGAACCTATTAATCCATGTTTGGGTAAGTATGGGTCCATCTAGTTCATCTTATACACTACAAGTGAGTTTCCACAATGTGGAGTCACAGAGGTACATTTCGGACTCCTTACCTCTTCCGGTTCCCAAATTAGGTCCATTTGATGTTCCTCCCTTGGATTGAGACCGTTTCACTCATGTTTGTCCTCATAGTCATGTGTAGAACCTATTAATCCATGTTTGGGTAAGTATGGGTCCATCTAGTTCATCTTATACACTACAAGTGAGTTTCCACAATGTGGAGTCACAGAGGTACATTTCGGACTCCTTACCTCTTCCGGTTCCCAAATTTGGTCCATTTGATGTTCCTCCCTTGGATTGAGACCGTTTCACTCATGTTTGTCCTCATAGTCATGTGTAGAACCTATTAATCCATGTTTGGGTAAGTATGGGTCCATCTAGTTCATCTTATACACTACAAGTGAGTTTCCACAATGTGGAGTCACAGAGGTACATTTCGGACTCCTTACCTCTTCCGGTTCCCAAATTAGGTCCATTTGATGTTCCTCCCTTGGATTGAGACCGTTTCACTCATGTTTGTCCTCATAGTCATGTGTAGAACCTATTAATCCATGTTTGGGTAAGTATGGGTCCATCTAGTTCATCTTATACACTACAAGTGAGTTTCCACAATGTGGAGTCACAGAGGTACATTTCGGACTCCTTACCTCTTCCGGTTCCCAAATTAGGTCCATTTGATGTTCCTCCCTTGGATTGAGACCGTTTCACTCATGTTTGTCCTCATAGTCATGTGTAGAACCTATTAATCCATGTTTGGGATAAGTATGGGTCCATCTAGTTCATCTTATACACTACAAGTGAGTTTCCACAATGTGGAGTCACAGAGGTACATTTCGGACTCCTTACCTCTTCCGGTTCCCAAATTAGGTCCATTTGATGTTCCTCCCTTGGATTGAGACCGTTTCACTCATGTTTGTCCTCATAGTCATGTGTAGAACCTATTAATCCATGTTTGGGTAAGTATGGGTCCATCTAGTTCATCTTATACACTACAAGTGAGTTTCCACAATGTGGAGTCACAGAGGTACATTTCGGACTCCTTACCTCTTCCGGTTCCCAAATTAGGTCCATTTGATGTTCCTCCCTTGGATTGAGACCGTTTCACTCATGT